TGTGTCGCCAGGTGGGGGGTCGGGGTAGTTCTCTCTCCCCCGAGCAGAGGGCTCTGTGTGCCAAGTGGGTGGGTCGGGGCAGTTCTCTCTCCCCCGAGCAGAGGGCTCTGTGTGCCAGGTGGGTGGGTCGGGGTAGTTCTCTCCCCCGAGCAAAGGGCTCTGTGTGCCAGGTGGGTGGGTCGGGGCAGTTCTCTCTCCCAAGCAGAGGGATCCGTATACCAGGAGCAGGATGAAAAGATGCTGAAGAATACATTCACACCAAGAACACTGGAGACAAATTTGTAACTATGCCCCCAACCCACTGCCAGGCTCCTGTGGGTGCTGAATGCCCCTGAGCATGCAGTGGAGGGGCAGGGGCACGGCCTCTCCCCAGCCCTGCTGGCAGGCGCAGGGTGGCTGCGGGCCCCGTTCAGGCCTCGTCATCGCTGATGTGCGTCCTGTCCTCAGCCAGGCCACTCTCATCAATGTTCTCCAGGGAGTCGGCGTGCTGCAGGGACAGCTCGGCCAGGCTGATGCTGGGTAGCGTGTTCTGCTCTGGGTACACCCAGGGCTTAAAGCCAGGCTCGTGCTTCTGCTTCCACTCCAGGTACTTCAGCCCCGCCTTGTAGATCTTCTTCATGGCCTGGAGGGGCAGAGCAGCCCCAGCCTGTCACCAAGCCCCATTGCCCATCTGCCCATCCCCCTGGGACCCAGGGCTGGAGCCTGCCCTGAAGTCTGTTCCCATTGGCTGGAGCTTGCCAGGCCTGGGCAATGCCCTTGGGTGCTTTTCTCCTGAGCCCCTCTCCAGGCTCCCCTGGCATGCTGAGGGTCCCCTAAAGGGGGCTCTGGGGTGGGGGGCGGAGGTGGGAGTGGGAGCCCTCCCCTGCCTGTGGTCTCACAGCCATGCTCACGTGCAGGGTATTGACTTGGCTCCAGCCCCACGCACAAGAGGTGGGATAGGAGCCCTGGGCTGCATTTGCCGTGGAAGCCCCATCCCCGCAATCTTGCTGCCGGCCAGACTGGCATTGTAGCCACTAGGATTAGAGACCCAGCCCCATCCCAGAGCAGGGGAACACCTCTCTCTGCTCACACCGCACACCCAGCTGGGAAGGAGAAAGGCCAACACACTGGAGGGCGAGGAGAGGAGACCCTGAGTGCCTCAGGGGAGAGGGGAAACCTCCCTGCAGCAGCCAAGGATAGAGGGATGCCCCTCCCAGCATCACCCATGGGGCACAGCACTCCCCACCCCCTTCCCAGAAACCAGGAGGGAGGGGCCGGGAGGGCTGGTGCCATGGCACCCCAAGGCTGGGTGTGGGGTGACCTGGGGGTGCCCCAGCAGGGGAAATGTTCTGCCTTGAGTTCCTGCTGTTGGTGTGTCAGGCTGGCTCAGCTCCATGCTCTGAGCATGTCCTGACATGTAGTGCACACAGCACCACAGTCTCTGAACTTCCCCTGTGCCCACCCCACCTGGGCTGCTGCGGCCACTTAGAGACAACTCAGCTCCATAGGGAGGGGCAAGTCCTGGAGCAGGCCTGAGCGAATCAAAGCTCTGGATGCTCTTAGCTGCAACAAGAGGCCAGTGAGCTCGCACAAGCAGGGTGGGGCGGGGGCGTGTGCATGGGATTGAGTCACAGATGTGCTGTGCCCACAGTGCTGGGAGCTGCGTGAACTCACAGCCACACTTAGATGGTCCACGGCCCTAGGCAGCTGCTCACCACTGACCATGTGTCGCATACAGGGCCGGCTCCAGGGTTTTGGCCGCCCCAAGCAGCCAAAAAAAAAAAGCCACGATCACGATTGTGATCTGCGGCGGCAATTCAGCGGGAGGTCCTTTGCTCCCAGCGGGAGTGAGGGACCGTCTGCCGAATTGCCACCGAATACCTGGACGTGCCGCCCCTCTCCAGAGCGGCCGCCCCAAGCACCTGCTTGCCAGGCTGGTGCCTGGAGCCGGCCCTGGTCGCATAGAATGCACCTTGACAGGCACTACAGGGCAGTGGCTTGGACACACTGAGGTCTAATTGATCTTCGAGGCTGCAGCAGTGTTGCTGCGTTATATGCATGGGGTGACTGGATCCACCAGGACTGGGAGGGACTTCCCAGAGCAATTCCCTGTTTTCTGCTGCGCTGGTGGGATCTGGTGGACACACCCATGCCATTGGTATACCATGGCTGCACAGGCTGGCCTAGCTTAACCTTGTCTCTTCTTGCTTTGCCCATCTGTATTTCCCTGTAACTGCCCTGCTCCTCCCTGGGCCCGCAGTCACCTGTGTATAAGGAGACTGTTGTCCCCTTAGTAAAACTCAGTGGGTTTTTTTTGGTTGGCTAGCTCCCAGTACTAAAAGTAAAGGGAAGGGTCAATAGGAAATCAGGACCAGGAGGGTCCTGTCCTCCGGGTGATAGGGAGCTGCCCGGGTCACAGAGTGGGGCCAAGTTAAGGAGAGAGCAGGGGCCCAAGATGAGCAGCGGAGCAGAGCTGTGCCAGCCAGAGGGGTTAGAAAAGCAGCCCAGGAAGCAGGTCAGTGCTGGGAGCAGAGCCACAGAAGCAGCCCAGAGAGCAGACCTGTGCTAGGAGGAGAACTGCAACAACCAGGGCAGAGGTGCCAGAGAAGCAGCCCAGGGAGCTGGAGGCAGAGCAGCAACAGTGCTGAGGCAGAGTGGAGCTGGAGCTGAGGCAGAGTGGAGCTGGAGCTGGAGTAGTCCGGAGCCAGGTGCGGTGATCAGGCGGGGAAGGCAAGGGGGGACCCTGGGCAGTGGGCCCAGCACAGGGAGATGTCCACAGCCAAGAGGCCCTGCAGGCCAGACTTGGAGGAGGATCGTAACCTCAATGGGGTGGGGGTGATGCTAGAAAGAAGGGTCCTGCCACCTAGAGCCTGAGGGCGTGTCTGACCCGCAGCATCTCTGCAGCACAGCCAGGGCCTGAGCAGGAGGCCTGGGATGTGTGAGGAGCAGACTGTGAGCTGCCCTGACATTCCAGCCATGGCTGGTTGTGTTATTGCTGTTTGCTGTGTGCTCCACAATATCTGTGAGAGTAAGGGGGAGATGTTTATGGTGGAGTTGAGGCAAATCGCCTGGCCGCTGCTTATGCACAGCCAGACACCAGGGCAGTTAGAAGAGCACAGCAGGGCGCACTGCGCATCAGAGAAGCTAAGTAGAGTACTGACTCGAGCGGAGAGGCAAAACCATTCACTGCGGGGCAGATTGGAAATGTTAAAGTGGGCAGAAAACAGAAGACAGTTATTCCTCCTCGGAGAAGGAAGATCCTTGATGAACACTGCTGGGTACCAGGAAATACCAGTAGATATTGAGCTCTTGTAGAGCCTACATCTGGGGCAAGCCTACCTAATGGGCTCCAGCCAGCCAATGTACCAACTGATACCATCAAAGGAAGAGTACCAGTGAGTCTTCTAAACTCAAGTTTGAAGGCTGTGGAGTTGCAGCCTCAAAACAGAACTGCAGAGGTACACTGGCCTGAGGGAGTGGTTCCGCAGGTGAAGGTAACATTTGTAGAGAATGAAAATGAGCTGCGGGTGACAAGGAGGGAGAAGGGAGGACAAGTTGCCTTTGAGAAAGATGCGGTGAGAGATTGCCAGTTCCAGTTCAAGTGGCACGCCAAGGGCTGATTCCTGCACAGGTGGCTAACTTAGGGGAGTTGCCAGAGAAGCATCAAGAAGTCTTTTCTAAGGATGAGGTGACTAATTTTGATGACTGGGTCAAAGGTGTCCATGACAGGCCAAAGACAGCCAGTGAAGTTGCTCTCAGTACAACTAAAGACACAGCCCAAAGTGGGAAAAGGACTTATGATCGCAAGTCCAGTGGGGCTCTCATCAGACCTGGTGACTGTGTACCAGTTCGTAGCCATAGATGCAGGAGGCGTAATAAAATACAGGACAAGTGGGAGTCAAATCTCTGTACTGTGGTCACCCACAACAATCCTGAACTGCCGGTTTATACTATCCAGCCTGAACGAGGAGGTCCTGAGAGAGTGGTATATAGGGACCAGCTAAACATTGGACTTTTAGTCTGACCAGGGCTCATAGGAGGCATAGAGTAGCATGTCCCGACTCCCGAGGAGACTGAAACCAATGGGGCAAACCCAAACCCTGACGAAAATGGTCAGATCCCTCAAATTGACCTGGTGTTACCCGGGTACAGGGGAATAGAAAAATGGGTAATGAACCATCAGTCTTAAGAAGATCCCAGAGAACTACTAAAGCTGTACTGCCTGTTAAACTTGGAGATGATTGTTATTGGTTCTATATAGTGTTTGAAATAATATTGTCATGTATAGTATGAAGAAGTAGATGTAGAATGTTAAATATGTTAAATGTTCTTTTGATAATTATTAATGGTTTTTTTATATGACATGATGTGGGTATATGTTGTTAATATGAGACCAGGATATACTGGTGTGAATATTGTGCCTGTGGCAATATTTTAGCAAGGGGGAATGTAAGGGGACTGTTGTCCCCTCACTAAAACTCAATGAGGGCTTTTTGGTGGGCTAGCTCCCAGTGCCAAAAGGAAGGGGAAGGGTCAATGGGAAATCAGGACCCTGAGACTGACAGTCCCCAGGGGCAATGGGGAGAGGCCAATTCTCCAGGTCAGCCTGATTGACAGGTCAGGCAGGCTAATCAGGGAGTCAGGAGGCCAGTGTGGGTCCCGCCCTCCGGGTGAGCTGGAATTGCCTGGGTAAGAGAAGAACAGGAGTATTTGTGGCACCTTAGAGACTAACAAATTTATTAGAGCATGCCCGAAGAAGTGGGCTGTAGTCCACGGAAGCTTATGCTCTAATAAATTTGTTAGTCTCTAAGGTGCCACAAATACTCCTGTTCTTCTTTTTGCGGATACAGACTAACACGGCTGCTACTCTGAAACCTGGGTAAGAGAGAGTGCGGCCGAGCTAAGGAGAGAGCAGGGGCCCATGCTGAGCTGGGGAGCAGAGCTGTGCTAGCCAGAGAAGCAAAGAAGCAACCCAGAGAGCAGGTCAGTGCTAGGAGAAGGGCTGCAGCCACAGAGCCAGAGGGGCCAGAGAAGCAGCCCAGGGAGCTGGAGGCAGAGCAGCCGCAGTGCTGAGGCAGAGTGGAGCTGGAGCTGGATCAGTCCGGAGTCGGGTGTGGTGAGCAGCTAGGGAAAGTGAGGGGGGACCCAGGTTAGGGTGACCAGATGTCCCGATTTTATAGGGACAGTCCTGATTTTAGGGTCTTTTTTTTATATAAGCTCCTATTACCCCCCACCCCCTATGCTGATTTTTCACACTTGCTGTCTGGTCACCCTACCCTGGGTAGCGGGCCCAGCTCAGGGAGACGCCTCCAGCCAAGAGGCCCTACAGGCCAGACTTGGAGGGGGATCGTAACCCTGACAGGGTGGGGGCAATGCTGGGAAGAAGGGTCCTGCCACCTAGATCCTGAGGGCGTGTGGCCACCGCCAGAGCAAGTGTCCGACCTACAGCATCCCTGCAGCACAGCCAGGGCCTGAGAAGGAGGCCTGGAACTTGTGAGGAGCAGACTGTGAGCTGCCCTGACATTCCAGCCATGGCTGGTTGTGTGTCCCCGTGCCACAGAGTGGGGGTGACATGTTTTCCTTTAACCATTCCCATTTTTCCTTATCTTTTAAATCGGTTGCTGCTTAATAAATTGTTTTTGCTTTGAACTGCATGCAATGATCAGTGGGTCAGGGAAGCATCCAGTGCAGAGAGTGCACCCCAGAGTGGGGACACCCTAGCCCCTGCCCTAAGTGACCACGACAAGGTTGGGGGTCGAGTAGCTCAGGAATCCTGGGCCCTGCCTTGTTGGGGTTACGAGGACTCTGCCAGACAGGAGAGTGGAAGGGGAGTCCTCAAGGGCAGGGAGGCCTCTGGGTAAAGGAAGTGGGAGCGAGGACTCAGATCCTTCCGCTAGCCCATTTCACCAGGGTAGTGTATAAGCCAGGAAAGTTCCTCACAATAACGGGACCATTCCCGCATCTGGTGTCTATTTGCTTATGGGACACTGATATGAACCTGGTGTGAGTTCTAGACAATGACCTGGGCCAGGTCTATACTGTGAAGTTTTGCTGGCTTAGCTCTGTTGGCTAGGATAGCTCTGCTGGCAAAACTCCCTGTGTAAACATAGATGCCGACTCCGTGGGTGCTCTGGGGCTGGAGCACCCACGGGGCAAAATTAGTGGGTGCAGCCAAGCTCCCCACCATGCCCCACCCCACCTCACCTCCTCCTCCGTCACCTCCCCTGAGCACACCCTGTCCCCACTCCTCCTCCTACCTCCCAGTGCTTGCTGCCACCAAACAGCTGTAGCAAGCTCTGGGAGAGAGGGGGAGGAGCGGGAACGTGGCACGCTGGGGTGGGGATTTGGGGAAAGAGTCGGAATAGGGGCAGGGAGGGGGCGGAGTTGGGGTGGGGACTTTGGGGAAGGGGTTGGAATGGGGGTGGGAGGAGGCGGGGGCAGAGCACCCACTGGCGCCAGTAGAAGTTGGTGCCTATGTGTGTAAATGCAGCTTATATCAGCAAAAGAGTGGCCATACTGGGTCAGAGCAATGGTCTAGCTTGCTCAGTGTCCTATGCCAGGTGCTTCAGGGGGAATGAACAGAACAGACAATCAAGTGATCCATCCCCTGACTTCCACTCCCAGCTTCTAGCAGTCAGAGGCTAGGGACACCCAGAGCATGGTTTTGCATCCCTGCCCATCTGGCTACTAGCCATTTGGGCCTATCCTCCATGAACTTACCTCTTTTTTTAACCCAGTTATACTTTTGGTCTTCACAACTTCCCCTAGCAATGAGTTCCACAGGTTAACTGCGTTGTGTGAAGAAATGGAGATATCCCATCTCCTAGAACTGGAAGGGACCTTGAAAGGTCATCATGTCCAGCCCACTGCCTTTACTAGCAGGACCAAGTACTGATTTTGCCCCAGATCCCTAAGTGGCCCCCTCAAGGATTGAACTCACAACCCTAGGTTTAGCAGGCCAATGCTCAAACCACTGAGCTATCCCCCCCCAGTACTGCCTTCTGTTTGTTTTAAACCTGCTGCCTATTAATTTCAGTGGGTGATCCCTGGTTCGTGTGCTATGTGAAGAGGTGAATAGCACTTCCCTAGTCACTGTCTCCACACCAGTCATGATTTTATTGCCCTCTATCATAGTCTCACTCAGTCGTCTCTTTTCCAGTCTTTGTAATCTCCTTTGCTGGGATAGCTCATGCCCCTCAGGGTGTGACTATGCCGGCAGAACAGCACCTTTCACCAGTCACGCTGCACCCAACGGGGCACTCCCCTCGGCTGCACTAGCCAAGCTGGTGCTGAGAAGACAAAAGGCCTTTTTGCCGTTGCAAGCTGTTGTCACTCGGGGCCTGCGGCTGGTGTAGCTGTCCCGGCAAACCCTTTCTAGTGTAGCCAAGGCCTGGGTGAGCAGCCTGGGGGCACGGCCAGGCTAGGTCGGAGGCTGCTCCATTCACCAGGCCTTACTCTGATAACAGCCTCCAGGCGTAGCTGTCACTCTGCTAAAGGGGAGCGGTGCTGCTAGCTGGATGTACCCGCTGGCGCCTGCTGCTCCTGCCAGCATGCAGTAACACAGCCGCCTCCGCACCCAGCTTACCTTTGGCGCCACAAACTGCGACATTTTGTTCACCACCCACTTTGGTAACGAACCTAGAACAAACCCGAGTTACTCAGACAGCAAGCGAGGCAGCCCCAGCGCTCCTCCGGGGCTGTCTGTCCCTCTCCGTCCTTGTGTCTGGCAGTGTAAGGGCATAAATACCAGAAAGGCAGCTTGGCAGCAGATAGTGTACACTCTGTGGGGCCCAGTCCCTCCCTGGCGCAGATGCCCCCTCACGAGGGCTCTAAGCTCCTGTCCACACTTAGTTTGTTGTTAAATCTCCTGTAACAGCAGGGCTGGAGCACTAGTGTAGACAAGGCCAGTACTCCCCGGGGCTCCTAGGCCTGCCTGCCGCACAGTGGTCTGGCTTGGTCTCTTCCCCCACCCCAGAAAGTCAGTAATGCTGCAGACACCACCAGGAAACCGGCTTATGCATAAAACCGATGGGCAGATTTCCCAGGCGCCACCCCATGGAAACTGCCTGGCCCCCAACAGCAGCCTCCAGAGCTTGGGGGGGCAGGGCTGTGGGGCTGGCAGTACCCTGGGGATGGGCTCAGGGGGCAGGGCTGTGGGGCTTGGCAGTGCCCTGGAGATGGGCTCAGAGCTTGGGAGGGCAGAGCTGTGTGGCTGGCAGTGCCCTGGGGATGGGTTCAGAGCTCGGAGGGCAGGGCTGTGTGGCTGGCAGTGCTCCAGAGATGAGCTCAGATCTTGTGGGGGGGCAGGGCTGTGGGGCTGGCAGTGCCCTGGAGGTGGGCTCCGGGGCAGGGAGCCAGGGGCTAGTTCTGATGAGACGGCAGGGAAGAGAAGGCTGCAGCACATAGAATCATAGAAGGTTAGGTTTGGAAGAGACCTCAGGAGGTCATCTAGTCCAACCCCCTGCTCAAAGCAGGACCAACACCAACTAAATCATCCCAGCCAGGGCTTTGTCAAGCCAGCCTTAAAAACCTCTAAGGATACAGATTCCACCACCTCTCTAGGTAACCCATCCCAGTGCTTCACCACCCTCCTAGTGAAATAGTGTTTCCTAATATCCAACCTAGACCTTTCCCACTGCAACTTGAGACCATTGCTCCTTGTTCTGTCATCTGCCACCACTGAGAACAGCTGAGTTCCATCCTCTTTGGAACCCCCCTTCAGGGAGTTGAAGGCTGCTATCAAATCCCTCCTCACTCTTCTCTTCTGCAGACTAAACCCCAGTTTCCTCAGCCTCTCCGTGTAAGTCATATACCCCAGCCCCCTGATCATTTTTCTTGCCCTCTGCTGGACTTGCTCCAGTTTGTCCACATCCCTTCTGTAGTGGGGGGACCAAAACTAGACACAATACATAACCAGCTTGCGAGCCGGGTAAAGCCAAGCACAGGGCACAGCAGCTGGCAAACACTAACCAATGGGCCAGGCCACCCAAGGTGGGCACAGGAGTGCAGCAGTGTCCCCAAGGGAGCCCAGTGGAGAAAGGGGATGGGGCAGCAGGGGGAGTGGACAGCAAGCCCCACCAGCCCGTGGGCACTGGACAGACAGGTGGAGCTGGGTATGTCCATCTGTCTGGCTCTCACATAGTCTACTGCTGTCCTACTGATGTCCCCTGAGCTGCCCTGCCCCAGCTGGGACGGGAAGGGAAGCAAAGGGCTTAGGGACAGTCCATGTTCTTTCCCCACTGTTCATCACCAGCTTTGTGTTTGGGGGGTGCTGGGAAATTGGCCCAATCCCTTTGGGGGGGGGTGTCCCCCAGGTACAGCATGTCAAGCAATACTTCCCCCTGCACAGGGCTGCCTCTCCCCCCAAAGCTGCCTCTGCCCCGCCAGGAGGAGCTGCAGCATTCCCCTTGGCTCATGTGCCATGCTGGGCACTCACCTCGGGGGTCCACCTGGGTGAGGTAGTAGAGGGTGCAGCCGTGGGGGCCATTGGCCTTGACTAGGTAGCCCGTCTGCAGGGACACGGCCCTCACAAAGTCCTTCCGTGGTGGGTACTTCTGTAGAGACACCACACACAGATCAGTGCCTGCTGTGCACCGGCTCACCGGGCAGCCACGCCACACAGGAGCTGTGCTCCAGCCTGCTCTGCCACAAGTTGTGCCCCCTGTGGCTGGAAGGCCAGGTCCGGAACCAAGGCTTGGCCTGGCTGGGCCTTTCCCACCAGCATTGCCCTGACCCCCACCCCTGAGCCAAAAGGCCAGTGCCTGTTGCCAGGCTGGGGAGCTCGGTAGAGGCCTGGCACCTCTGCGTGGTGCCAGGCAGCAGGAGAAGAGCTGCGGTCAGCGGAGTAGGAGCTCACTGGGTGCTTGACGCTGTAGTTGATGATCATGTAGTCGTTGCCCAGGGGCAGCCAGGAGCGCAGGGTGACAAAATCCCTGTTCTTCAAGGGGCTCGGGCACTTCCCTGCAAGGGAGAGAGTCTGTTATCCCGCAAGCACCTGCAGGCACGTCCCCCAATTCCCTCCCAGGGACACCCTGCCCTGGGTTCACTCGCACAGCTAGGACCTTTTGCAGGGCCAGGTACGGTTCCCAATTTTCTAATCACACAAAACCGAATAACCCTGCCCCGCCCCTTCTCAGAGGTCACGCCCCCCCGACTCGCTCCATCCCCCCCCCCCCATTGCTACTCTTCTCCATCCTCACTCACTTTCACTGGGCTGGGGTTGGGGAGAGGGAGGGGGTATGGGCTCTGGGCTGGGGGTGCAGGCTCTAGGTTGGGGCTGGGAATGAGGGGCTTGGGGTGCGGGAGGGGACTCTGGGCTGGGCCAGAGGATTGGAGTGGGGGGGTGCAGACTTGGGGTGGGGCTGGGGATAAAGGGTTTGGGGAGCAGGAGGGGGCTCCGGGCTGGGGCAGGGGGGTTGGGAGGGGGTGCGGGGTCCTAGCAGCACTTACCATGGCTCCAAGGGAGCGGCTGCCAGGTCCCTGTGGCCTCTAGGCGCATGGGTGGCAGGCACATCTGCGTGGTGCCTTCACACCCTCAGGCACCGCCCCCCACAGCTCCCATTGGTCACGGTTCCTGGAACAATGGGAGCTGTGGAGCTGGCACTTGGGCGGGGGCAGTGCGTGGAGCCTCCCTGGCCGCGTATGAGCCACAGGGACCTAGTGGCTGCTTCCCGGAGCAGCGCGGAGCCAGGGCAAGCAGGGAGCCTGCCTTAGCCACGCTGCGCTGCCAACCGGACTTTCAACGGCCCGGTCACTGGTGCCGATCGGAGGCTCCAGGGTCCTTTTTGTGGTCGAAAACCATATGCCTGGCAACACTAGGCCCTGCCTGACGTGAAGGGTGGCAGGTGAGGGGCCCAGGGGAGGGTAGGAGTGTTGCACTATCTCCCCAGCCCCCCGCTGCCCCCACTCACAGGCATAGTATCCCACATCGGCATTGGCTGTCAGGCGCCCAATGTCATAGGTCTCAATGACGTTGGAGTCCCATTTCTTGCGGTAGTGGGTGTCGTGCAGCACGTCATAGAGTGTCGCGGCCGGCACGTCCTTGCAGGCGATGCGCAGCTGCAAGGGGAGGATGGAGGGAGGGCTTGCAGTCAGCGAGGCTCTGACAGGAGCCCAGCATGCCCACACGGGCCTGGGGGCATGGGCAGGGCGCACCAGAGGCAAGTGTGAGAGAGGGGCACATGTGTGTGACAGCAGCCATCTGCCCATGAATGTCAGGTACATCGGCACAAAGGAGTAGTGTGGCTCATCGCGGTTAGTGTGTGGATATGTATGGGGGGTGGCCCAGCAGAGTGCGTGCTAGGATAACAGCAACCTAGGGCTGGAAGAGCCCTCCAGAGGGCATCTAGTCCAGCACCCGGCACTGAGGCAGGACTAACTATTGTGACAGACCCAGACCAGTGGGATACAGGAGTCTGGTAGAGGACAAATATACTGGTCACTGTATGAATAGTTTTCTGTTCCCTGAGTGACCAAAGCAGGGGCTGCACTAGAGTAATCAGGAACCTGCTAGAACCAGTTAAGGCAGGCAGGCTAATTAGGACACCTGGGTTTTAAAAAGGAGCTCACTTCAGTTTGTGGTGCAAGTGTGAGGAGCTGGGAGCAAGAGGCGCAAGGAGTTGAGAGGGTGTGCTGCTGGAGGACTGAGGAGCACAAGTGTTATCAGACACCAGAAGGAAGGTCCTGTGGTGAGAATAAGGAAGGTGTTTGGAGGAGGCCATGGGGAAGTAGCCCAGGGAGTTGTAGCTGTCATGCAGCTGTTACAGGAGGCACTATAAACAGCTGCAGTCCACAGGGCCCTGGGCTGGAACCCGGAGTAGAGGGCGGGCCCAGGTTCCCCCCAGACCTCCCAATTGACCTGGACTGTGGGTTCTCCCAGAGGGGAAGGTCTCTGGGCTGTTCCCCAACCCACATGGTGAATCTCTGAGGCAAGAAAATCCGCCAAATAGCGCAGGACCCACCAAGATAGAGGAGGAACTTTGTCACACTATACATATAAAAGATGGGGTCTAAATTAGCTGTTACCACTCAAGAAAGAGATCTTGGAGTCATTGTGGATAGTTCTCTGAAAACATCCACTCAACGTGCAGCGTCAGTCAAAAAAGCGAACAGAATTTTTGGAATCATCAAGAAAGGGATAGATAATAAGAGAAAATATCATATTGCCTCTATATAAATCCATGGTACGCCCACACCTTGAATACTGTGTGCAGATGTGGTCACCCCATCTCGAAAAAGATATATTAGAATTAGAAAAGGTTCAGAAAAGGGCAACAAAAATGATTAGGGGTATGGAACGGCTTCTGTATGAGGAGAGATTAATAAGACTGGGACTTTTCAGTCTGGAAAAGAGACAACTATGGGGGGATATGATAGAGGTCTATAAAATCATGACTGGTGTGCAGAAAGTAAATAAGGAAGTATTATTTACTCATAAAACAAGAACTAGGAGTCACCAAATGAAATTAATAGGCAGCAGGTTTAAAACAAACAAAAGGAAGTATTTCTTCATACAACGCACAGTCAACCTGTGGAACTTCTTGCCAGAGGATGTTGTGAAGGCCAAGAATATAACAGGGTTCAAAAAAGAACTAGATAAGTTCATGGAGGATAGGTCCATCAATGGCTATTAGCCAGGATGGGCAGGGGTGCTGTCCCTAGCCTCTGTTTGCCAGAAGCTGGGAATAGGTGACAGGGAATGAATGACTTGATGATTACCTGTTCTGTTCTTTCCCTCTGGGGCACGTGCCATTGGCCACTGTGAGAAGACAGGATACTGGGCTAGATGGACCTTTGGTCTGACCCAGTATGTCTGTTCTTATGACCATCCCTGATGAGTGTTTGTCTAACCTGCTCTTTAAAATCTCCATTGGCAGAGTCCACAACCTCCCTGGGCAATTTATTCCAGTGCTTAACTACCCTGACTGGTAGAGAATGTTTCCTAATGTCCATCCTGAACCACACAGGCTGCAATGGAAGCCGATTGCTTCTTGTCCTTTCCTGGGGCTAAGGAGAACAACCGATCGCCCCTCCTCTAGGTAATGGATTTCTAAAGCAGGGTTTTCAAACATCCGACTTTCCAGGACGGCCGAGGGGACCCTCCCAGTAGCCACACTGCCATTAACACTTCCCTGAGTCTGGGTGCCCGCCTGCCCAGGTCTGCCTCAGCTCCCAAACCCGCTCTTCAGTCACACAGAGCCAGGCTGGGGTGGATTCTGCTGGGTGTGCAGCCAGCTGGCAGTGCAGTGGGCTTATGGGAGCCTGAGAGTCGGGGGGGGGGGGGGGGAGGGGTTGGCCTGGGGAATTAATGTGTGACACCCAGGGATGCTGGCTTTGTTCCCTTGCCCCAGTCACATGACCTGGGCCAGGGATCCCAAGGGGCTGCCTCTGGCACCTGGCAGAGGCTGGAATTAAATGCATATTAAAAATGCCAAGCCAAGCCAAATGCCACAACTGAGCCCAGCCCCAGCCGCAGAGGGCACTCAGGGAATCATAGAATCATAGAATATCAGGGTTGGAAGCGACCTCAGGAGGTCATCTAGTCCAACCCCCTGCTCAAAGCAGGACCAACCCCAACTAAATCATCCCAGCCAAGGCTTTGTCAAGCCTGATCTTAAAAACTTTTAAGGAAGGAGATTCCACCACCTCCCTAGGTAACTCATTCCAGTGCTTCACCACCCTCCAAAATTCATTCATATGTAACCCTTCTGCCTGTCTGAGTTGGCAGCAACAAGGGCTGGGTTCAGTATCTAGGTGTTCCATTTCAATAACACAATGCAAAACCAGCTCGAGCCCCCACCCAGTGACCTGGGACAATTACATACCACCCCCGGGCGCCTCTAAGAGGCAATACTTCTCATCTCGCAAGCATGGAGTCTGAGTGTAGCAAAATGCTTTTAATAAAGGAGGGAAACAATGCAGTATTACGTTGGGGAAACACCACAAACAGGATTCATAACACAAACCATGAGCAAAAGACCCATCCCCAAGTAAGTTTGGCAGTGTCCTTTTCCACTCAGGGTCTTAAGTCCAGCAACCCAAAAAAATCACCCAAAAGTCTCTGTCCCTGGTCAGTGCAGCCCCAGAGTTCAAAAGTTTATCTGCAAAGTTTTACCTTCCAGCCTAGGTGGAAATGGGTGGGTGGGGGAACCGAGGTGTTAAGGGGCACCTTACGCGGTCCAAGACTGACTGCCCCGCCTCTCCATGGGGCTGTGCTGCAGCCTTCACCACAAGCCACTCCACCAGCTACTCCACTCCACCAGCCATTCTGTGAGCTGCTCCAGCTGTCCCACAAACATACTCCACTAGCTGCTCAGCAATATATCTTCAGCCCTTTCCCACAAGCACCCAGCAATTTTAGCTTTTAGTAGTAGAGGAGCCTCAGTACTGGTGCACTATTAGCACAAAGTGACTTCAGCTTAACAGCCTATAACTACACTCTAAATAGAATCAAAATTAGCTCTGATATTCCACAGCAGAGACAGTACAAATAGTGTTTCACACCCACAAACAACTACCCTACTATCAGATACACATCCCTACCCCAAGCCTCTCTTAATTCACTGGGTTTTAGAACCCATGTCCCTTGTCTAGCGAGTGCTACTTAGTTGATGGCGAGTCTCTCTGTCATAAAACAGTTCCACTGTCCTTGATTCACATAATCAGGGTAACTACACTTTATTCTTCCTGCCCCAATAACAGAGAAACTGGGGATCCCACAGCAGCCAAAGTGATCATTTGGGCTGCTGTGGACTCATGCTAGGCTGGGTGGGTATGCCTATGCAAATAAGATCAGCCCCTGAAGTTCTCTTGCACAACTCGCCACAATTCACCACCAGATGTCAGGGTAGAGCTCATCCTGACTCTGCTTACACATATATAACTGTAAGCATCTTTGCCTCAGTCACCAGCAGAGTTTGAACTCAGAATTTCTGAGTGCAGTGCAAACCTCTACCACTTGAGCTAACAGAGCAACTGTTTTGAGCTTTGGTCTCTCCTTGGACATCTGACCATTGCATCTGGGCTCTGAGCAGTGCCCCTCATCGAGGTCTCTGGCAGAAACGACCATCCCTGCCCTCTGTGGGTCTGATCATGTGGCTCCCACTTGTGCTGGGATCAGGTCCTGCTGCTGCGGCCTGGTCAGCGGCCGTGCTGGGTCTTCCAGGGCTGGCGCTTCCACTAGGTGACCCTAGGCGGCCGCCTAGGGCGGCAGGATTTGGGGGGCAGTATTTTGCTGCCTGCAGCAGAAATTCAGCGGCGGGAGGTGTCACGGAGTCCCCGGGCGATGCTCTGGAACTGCTCCCCACAAAGCCAGTCAGGACTTTGGGGAGCCTCCTCTCCCTCGGAGTAGACCGTCTTCAGGGCAAGAAGCTCACACGGCTTCACCTCCTGGGTCTCTCTTGGGAGCATTCAGCATATGTCCCTCTGTGCGCTTCCCACAGCGAGTCTGCCCCGGCGGCGTCCTGGGGAAGCCAAAGGGTTCTGCACCCCGCACTTCGCAGTCAGACGTGACTCTCAGCCAGCCAGTAAAACAGAGGTTTATTAGATGACAGGAACATGGTCTAAAACAGAGCTTGTAGGTCCAGCGAACGGGACCCCTCCGCCGGGTCCATTCCGGGGCCCAGCGAGGCAGACCCCCGTCTGCCCTCCCTTCCAGTCCCCAGCTAGTTCCAAACTCCAACCCCTGTTCAGCCCCTCCTTCTCTGGGCTTTGTTTCTTTCCCGGGCCAGGAGGTCACCTGATCCTTTTGTCTCCAACACCTTCAGTTGGCACCTTTGCAGAGGAGGGGCCCAGGCCATCAGTTGCTAGGAGACAGAGTGTCGGGCATTTATGTGCACTGGCCCTTTGCTCTGTAGCAACCATACACCCTTATCCCACCACCTAGATACTTAAGAACTGCATAGGGGAAACTGAGGAAAACATTAAGAACAGCCCCACTTCGTCACAGGAGGTCCTTCTACTCCGGATCTTCGGCAGAAATTCGGCGGCGGGTTCTTCAGTCACTCCGGGACCCGCCGCCAAAGTGCCCCGAAGATGCGGAGCGGAAGGACCTCTGCCGC